TCCCATAACATCATTCAAACTTGTTCCAATCATTAAAACACCTCAAACAACACGAAAACCATCAATTCTCATCGAATTCAAGCCTAAGTTCTTCAAAAACTTCCGAAATACGCATTCGATCAAAAACCTAACCAAATCACCTCCGAATGACCTGAAATTTTACACATACATCCCAAATCACTTAACGAAGCTACAGCAACTCTCGGTATTCCATTCCGACCCTCGGATCAAAATCTCAACTATCAACCGTAATTCGCCAAAATACTAACTTCGCAAATTCAAGCCTAATTCTACACCGGACCTCCAAAATTTCTTCCTATCGCACGCCTAAGTCACAAATCATCCCCCGAAGCTAACCGAACCATCGGAAATCACATCCGGGCCCTCTAACACATAAGTCAACATCCGGTTGACTTTTCCAAACTAAGCTTTCCTTAAAGAGACTAAGTGTCTCATTTCCTTCTAAAATCAATCCAAACCAACTCGTTCACAGAAGACACTGATAATGAAGCATAAATAAGTAGAAAATGGGGAAAACGGAGGGATGACTCATGAGACGACGGGTCGGGTCGTCACACTTCGAGTATGTTTTCCACATCAGCATAGAACCTGGAATTAGCAGCCTTGGTGGAAGTTGAACTTGAGTTGATTTTCTTTAAAGCCATTTCGATGTTCTTGAACTTTGGTGATTGAATTATTTTATGGAAATGGCCTAAAAATGCCACTAAACTTTTAGAAATGGTCTATCCATGCCATCCGTTAAAAAAATGCTATTTCCATGCCACTGCCATTAAAGAAATGGCCCATCTATACCATTATTTGACTAACGACTGGATTTTTATTTTTTTTAAAATATTTATAAGACTTGAATTTCCACGTGTCCTGTCATTATTGGTTCGAATTAACCCATGCCCCACTTAATTCTAACCTTGGTTAGGTCCATCTACCCAAACACAACCCGTTTAAAACAAAACCAAATCTCCTTCACTCTCCAGTCGTCTTCCCCAAATCAGCAACCCTAAAACCTCCATTAAATCCATTTTCTCAATTATCTTTTTGAAATTGTAACCCTAGCTCCATTAAATCCTTTCATCTAGTTTAGAGAGTGGGAAGCAACCAGTTCCTCCAATTAGAAAATGAAATGGGTTTCGGTTCATGAAGTCCTGAGAAATCAATTTGGGACTATAATCATATCCAACATCTTCACAATCTATGTCAAATTGAAACTCCTCATCCACTTCAGACTTGGGAGAAAGAATCTCCCTCTCAGCAATCAGCCTTCTTGCCTCCAAGCAAACAACTTCAAGCTCACTTGGTTCCTCCTCCCCACTACGAAATTTCCTGCTCATCATCTCACCAATTTCAGCAAGGCAGAAACCATAAGCAGCAGTTCCCTTGAGAAAAATGGTGGAAAGGGCCAAGACACGAAGGGCTAATTTTTAATTTGGGGAAGATGACCGGAGAGAGGGGATTTGGAAGGATTAGGTTTGGTTTTGGGTTGAGTTGATTATTTGGGTAAAAATTTAACCGGGTGGGGTTTGGGTTAATCGACCTAACCGAGGGTAAAATTAAGTGGGACATGGGTTAATTCGGAACATTGAAGACATTACACGTGGAAATGTTAGTGTTAAAAAAATTTAAAAAAAGTTTTGTGCCGTTAGTTTAATAATGGCATAGATGAGCCATTTTTGTAACGGCAGTGGCATGGAAATAGCAATTTTTTAACGGTTGGCATGGATAGACCACTTCTGAAAGTTGAGTGACCTTTTTAGGTCTTTTCCGATTATTTTAAGATTTGGATGGCAACTAACAACTATTATACGCGTTATCCCTCCATTCTTTTTATTACTTTTCATTGTTTATTCCTTTTCTATTACATAGGAGTTTAGGGAAGAAAAGGAGGAAAATGAAACCGTGAAAAGTAAACTCACCCTCATATATATTAATATTCTATGGAAAACTCATACCAACAACTACGACTTAATTATAACTCTTAGTCGTGTTTTCTCGCTTTAAAAATTTATGCGTGACTCATTCCAGAGAGAGCGAAAGATATATATATATATATATATATATATATATATATATNAGAATCGAGAGGAGCTTTCGGTCAAAGTGAATTGACAAAAGAACCGAATCATTTTAGTTTATTCTTTTAGTTATCCTAATACTATTTGAGGTATATCCGGTTATATTTTGGATCAGAAGGGGTACTTTGGAAATATCAGTGCTTCTTGCTTCTGTAGCTGAAAAAGGACGGCTGTTCACTCAAAATTTTACCCTGATATGATCCGTTATTACTCGAGTTGCCATTATACATTTTGGTAATTAAGGTAACTTTGCAGGCCCTTAAAAGTGTACAAAATGTCATCCATCACTTTTTGCTTTGAATGTGATGCTTAGTCAAAAATTACCACGTGGACTGCCAATATGTGCACATATTTTTCCTTTTGGCGACATTGCAACACAGTTATATTTCAACCTTTCATTTTAACTGGAAACACAAAATAATGGAGTAATAATAATAGAGAATATACTAAAATTTGTAAAATAGCATAGTACTGCAGTATTAGGAAAAAGAAAAAAAGAAAATCCAATGACGATAATTCATGTGAAAAAGGAAAATGAAAATAGAATATTAGTAGTAAATTTATGTTTTTGGAATATATATTATACTCCTATAAGAAAAGAGTAATCTGATTAGAAATTAACATGGGTTCAAATTAGAACTCACGATATTACTATTCAAACTATAGTAACTTTACTATCTTCACGATTATTTTGAAGGTCAAGTAAACATTTGAAGGTGCAATTGCTCAAATAATTGTCTTTAATTCAAGCACTTAATAAGAAAAGTCTCTATCAAGAAAGAGTAGAGCTGGTATTCTTTTAGAAATATTTGTTTTTATATTTTCAGGTCTACTTTAATGTAACACGTGATTTTCCTTATGCTAGAAGAGGACATCTCATCTTATTTAAAACTATTAGCAAATGAATTATCAACGGAAAAAGTGCAAATTCTTTAGCTATTCACAAATTGATGAGGTTTAAATAAATTAGGGTCTTTTTTTCTTATGTGTTGCCTATGAATTTTTTTGTGTTACCAACAAGCCTACTTATTATTTTGCTTAAAAAAATTTATTGTAAATTTAAAAAACAAACATAAAAAAACAAAAAAAAGAAGCAATCTAATGAAATATTGGAAACCTTTTTATATCTTTTTCGCTGATGTTTACTTCCAACAAAATAAGTTTAAAATCAGATGGTTAACTCGAAAAAACAATATTTTTATTAAATAAAGATCCATATATATTTTTTATCTTTAAATATATTATTTAAATTAATATAAATAATCTTTACAAAATAACTAGGGAAATAAAATTAAGAAAATTATTTTTGTAATTCAGTGTTGGGCCCATGCTCATGGGCCATCCCTCCTCTAGTAGTAAAGAAACAGTTACAATTAAGATAGGGAGAAATTCAAAAATAGCCAGATTTACCACTGGCCGTTGAAAAATAGCCAAGTTTCAAAAGTCATCGAAATTTAGTCACTTTAAATCTGAGCGAAAACACTGTTCAAAATCCGGAAAAATACGTCCGCAAATTTTACGGGAGTTCCAGCATAAGTATGCTTGAACTCCCGTAAATTTTACGGGTGTTCCAGGATAACTATGCTGGAACTCCCGCAAATTTTACGGGAGTTCAAGCATAATTATGCTGGAACTCCCGCAAATTTTACGAGAATTCCAGCAAGTATAATTGTCCAGTATAATATACTGGAGTTTGGAGCACTGGTGCTCCAGTCTCCCGCAAATTTTACAGGAGTTAGCAAAGTATACCGGTCCAGCATAATATGCTGGAGTTCGTACACAAATACACCAGAACTCCCGTATATTATACTGGACCGGTCCCTGTTGCAGCAAAATAGTGGCTATTTTTCATTGACTTGATAAACGCTGGCTATTTTTCATTGACCAGTGTGAAAACTGGCTATACCATGATATTTTAACATTAAGATGGGACAAAGGAGTAAAATGTCACATTCATATTACTTATAACTTAAACAAGAAGAAGTGATGTTAACAACATTAAACCCACTTGCTAGTATATAATATACACATGAGCGCCTCAATAAAGTATATAAGAAGACTTGACTTTGTATCACTATTAACGTTAGGTAAGTCTGAAAGCATTCCAAACTAGATGTAGGTTTGCTGTTTTGACTTGTGAAAATTAAATTATTTGTCGTATCTCCCGGTAAAAAGTTTCACATGCAGATGTTCCAATAAATAATTGGTCCATCCATCTTACACGAAATTTTATTTTTAATTTGGTTTGTATATTTAGCAGAGCGATGTAGTCGATTTGGCTCTTTTTTTTGTACGTACTAATCGAACCAGAACACCACTCAATACACTTATTATTATTTTGACATTCTATTTCGCTGAGACATAGATTTTGGTATAAGTTATCTCAGATTGCTATACGAGTTTGGTTTCTAATATTAAACTCATCATATGTTATGTGGAGTTTAATACGAGAAATTAAACAAAGTATTTCATTAGTTATACGGAGAATTAATGCAAAGAAATATTGAAAATCATATACGTAGTACGAATTTTATCGACATTAGTTTTTTTAATCTCTCAAGCGTAACAACCCCTAATTAGTGGGTCCAAATAATTATCTTATGATTCAGATGGAGACTAACAACTGCAGCATTTCATTCAAAGGTAGGGATTTTGGGGAGAAGAAAGTTCAACGATTTAAAATTTTGAATCATGAAAATAAAAATAAAACTTCATGAAAAAGGGTTTGTTTTTTTTCCTTTAACATATATGGGTTTAGGGGGATGAAAGACCATACTCATATAACGTGTGAAACTCATACCAACATCACTACATTAATTATAAGTCTTGGTCGTTTTTTTTTTTTTTTTTTTTTTTATTAAAACTTTATCTCATGTCGATTACCCCCCCCCCCCCCCCGGCTTACTCGGATCATGGGATCAGGAAGTACGGATATTAGGTATTGTTATATTACTGATCATTATACTGACTCTGAGTTAGCTCATATGATGCTACTCGATGCATGTTTTCTTTTGAGCTATATGGAATCCTTCACAGTAGTACAATCCCCAGCTAAGGATTTCTTTGTAAGAAATCTTGGTTTCGTAACGTACTTGACTGTACAACGGGATATATTTTTGCTTGAAAATCAAATTCCAATCATGGTTATCAAGATGTTGAAGTATGGCGATGAAAACTTGCAGAAGGAATTGTTTGGTAGGTTTTGCAGGTCAGTGGTTTTTCGTGATCAGCCAACAAAATCAACGGCCAATATTGATGGAAAAAACCATGAGGATGATCAACCTCTTCATCTTCTTGAAATTCTTCGAGATGTCATCGTCTCCGGACCACTACTTCAACCAGAAACACACCACCACCTACGGCTCTCTACAAAAGATTTAGAGTAAGAATTCATATAAGCAAATGCATGCAGTAGCTTTAATTTGTTCTCTTTTACCGCCATTTTTATAGCACAGTTTGGCCAAGCTTCACCTATTTTTCTCATCAAAATATAAGAAAATAAATATACCAAGAAATCAAATATTTACTAATATATATACCAAAAATCAGCGTAATTCCGACAAATAGGTGTCAAGCACCCCAGATTAAAACAATTTCCAAATCGAGAATCAAACCAAATGGATAAATAAATTGATATATGTTTGATTTGGTTTGGTTTAAAATTTTAGAAAATTGATAATATTGTGTTTGATTTTATTTTGTTAAAAAAAGAAAGAAAACCGAAGCAAACCACGACAAATAATATACATAAATATAATAGAAGTTTATATATATATATATATATATATATATATATGGCATGTTAATTTTTTATAAATAATATTTAATATTTTATTATGTATACCCTCCATTTCTCTTGACTAGTCTTACCGTACGCGCATTGCGCGTGTAACCTGTCTAAATGAGCATAAAACTTTTAAAAAATTATATAAATATTATTTTTGAATTAAACTAAATGTGAAATTTATTTCAACAAAGAATATTGATTTTGTATAGCTGATTTAACGAGGAATATCAATTTATACCTTTCGCTCACTATGTTTTCTTTTAGCTATTTTAACAACTACCTTAAATTACTTATGAATAAATGTATATAATTTATTTTAATTAATTTCAATATATAAATTTATCTTATCTATGTTTTGCTTTTCGAGTATTGTAATTGGTTTTGTAATTTAATAGTATAAATTTACAATATGTATTCAACCTATTCAAATAATTAACTTAAAGTACATTATAGTACTTATTACTTCAAATTAAAAATACTACTATTATTTTCAAAACGTAAACACGTCGTATTAAACTTATTTATATATGTTTTCATACACGACCTAGTATGTTTTAGTTTGGTTTACATATTATCAGTAATTAATATTTAATTTTGAAGACTTAAAATTAGATCTAAAATTTTATTAGTAAATTTCTAACACGTTTATACAAATTTTGTCTATTGCACGTGAGAAAATGTCATAATTACTTTACATAATTTATTTAAGGAAAGGATTTATAAGTAAATTTTTATTTGGTGTTAAATTCCTAAAGTTGAGTTTCTATATATGTAGTCCGAATAGGGGAAGATTTAATGACAAAAATTTAGTTAATTTTTAAGTCCTAAATATTAGTAGAATAATTAAATTATAATTATAACCAATATAAAATCTATTTTTAAAAAGGTAAAAAGGCGAACGATATTTTTCTAAGGATCTTCGTGCTAGGATATGCGCGGCACGCGTGTACCTTCTATCGATCCGTATAAAATTATGAAATATAAGCTCTGGAATATTACAAATATTGAGCCTACTTAATAACAAAAAATAGCGGATGTTCTATCTAAGCATGACAACAACCAAGATAATTGAAAGTTTAGTGTTATTATGTATCTCGTTCTTTTATATTAATTTCGTATCAAAATAGTCATATAGTACCATGTATTCTAAGACAAGTTAACTACAAAGAGAAGAAAAATTAACGATATATAAATTATATAGTTAAATAATAAAATTCATCGCTGATCCTACTTAGTGACAAAATCAATTATATATTATAAAAAATCCTATTAGCTACAAGATGAATTTACTAACTAAAATTTTCTTAGTAATTATATTAGTTTTTGTTTGACCAAAAAAATAAAAGTCCTTTTCCATCTATTTTATTTTAACATGTGCATTGAGGTAATACTTTTGTAAATTAAATTATGATTATTAGTTTCTTATCACAAATTAATGATTACTATTTTTTTCAACAATAATTATTATTTCAAAACTTAATGCCATAGTAAATTTTAACGAATTTTACAAGCAAGCTTCTAAGAGAATACTTATGATTTAAATTTTAAAAACAACAAATAAATCATATGAAAGGAAAAATTGGCCTTTAGGATTAAAAAAGGACAAAGAAAAAAAATACCACATAAAACGTGAAGTTTCCTTGTTGGAAACCAACAAAAATCTTTCCTCCTACTTTTTTGTGTTCTTTTATGTCTTAATATATTGTATCCTTATTAGGAGAAGATATCAAACACTAAATTATATTAGATTTATTTATTTATTTAGAACTCCTAAATATAAGGCAAGTTTTTTTATTTTACAATTTTATCCAATGTAAAATGTGTTTCTAAAGGGTAAGAAAGGCGAACGACATTTCACTGAGAAACTTCGTGCTTTAATATAGTATAGATTTGAAATTCTTCAGAATAAACGAGCAATTGGCGAAAGATCGTAGAGATGTTGGAGATTGTGGTGAATAACCCAAGAATGGTTCCAGGTAAATATTATTGCTAAACAGCTATATTTCTTTTGACAATTAAACATAATGTGAAGCTAGTCAATTCTGCATGAGATGATTTGATTGAATTTGCACCTTATTGGTTTCAACAATTTGCTTAAGTTTTGCGAATGGGAACATAGAAATAATTAAACCATTGTAGCCATTTTATTCAACACTGTACTATACAATATTACTTGGCAGCTTGCTCCAATATGACATTCTGTACCTTAGCTCAATACCAGTAGCAGAGCTAGGTGGAAGGAATGGGTTTTATCGAACCCCCTTCGCCCGAAAATTATACTGTATATATAGATTTTTTCTTTTTTCATGTATATATATTTGGTCTTGAATCCTTCTAGCTTCTTTGTATTTTTATTCTATTTTTTTATTTTTTGAATCCCCTTAGTGAAAATCATGCTTCTTCCACCAGTTAATACAATCAGAAATGTGAGAACTACATGTATCAATTTATTTGAATATGTGTATAAAATATTAAACTCACTGAAATTAAATCGAATAAAACCAAAAAGTAGATAAAAATAGATACGGAAAAGGCACGAAACTATTCCTATCGTTTGCTAAATGGTTTATAAATACCCTCCATCCATCTATCCGTCCAAAAAAAACACACTACGTTAATTATATTAGCAAAAATACCCCCGCGACCAATTCTGACATTAGTCGCGGGGGTATTTTTGTTAATAGAATTAACGTCGTGTGTTTTTTTGGACGAATAGATGGACGGAGACTATTTATAAACCATTTAGCAGACGATAGGACTAGTTTATGCCATTTTCCGAATAGATAATTAATAACCAAATTGACACGTTTGTACTTATATTTGGCTTGGTTTGATTATTTAGTTTTGACTTTAGCCAAAAAGCCAGCGAACCAAACCGTGAAGGCAGGTGCAATGAAATAGGAAGTTGAAAGTTTCTATTAATTTAGGAGGTCCAAGAGACTTCTTGTGAAACCCTTTTTAGGAGAAATTTACATGTGTTGGTATTAGGTTAGGCAGTGTACATCACATTTCTTAGGATGCGACCTTGCTGAACGCGAGATACCTTGTGCACCGCACTACCCTTTATTATTTGTAGGGGTAAGTTCAAAAAGAGTAGTAATTTATGTGCACATATAAAATATAAACTCCAAAAATTAAATTAAACCTGCAGGGTTGCATTTTACTTATCAAGTGTATAAGTTGCTGCAAGAATATATTTTAATTTCTTATTGGATTTGCTAGTATTATTTGCATGAATCTTAGCACTCCTAGACAGTAAGCTTGAGCACGAGTTACTTCCAATTTTCTACCTCACAGCTTAGGGTCTAAAATTTTCAGAACGGCTGGAAGACGTGGCAATTCGAAATGGAGGAGTCACATCTACCCCTTTTGGTCAGTTAGAGACCTCAAACAAAAGGGCATTGTGTTTAGATCAAGTAGCAGAAATTCTATCGTGGGAATTCAGTTCACATCCTACAACTGGTATGGACACCTCCATCTTCCAAAGGAACATATAAACAACAACAGCAAGGTATTCTATGCGAATATGACAGCTTATGAGATGAATCCAAACACGAATACTCAATATGAGGTGACATGTTATGTGAACTTAATGAAGTCGCTTATAGTATGTCCAGAAGATGTGAAACAAGTACGAGAGAAAGGAGTAATCTGCAACCACCTGGGAACAGATGAAGAAGTAGCCAAAGTATTCCAAGATATTACTACATATGATGTTGTCTCCCAAGGTGGTAATCTTGTGGATATTATGAGCGCAATTCAGTACCATGTTAGCCGCAGATCAAGAACACTGATGGCACAGTGCTATTGGAGTTATTTTAGCAGTCCGTGGTCATTTCTCGCTTTACTTGTAGCAATTGTGCTACTTTGCTTAACTATTATGCAAACTAATTATACTATGCATCCTGTGGATTAAATATGTATCCCGCACACTGAACCCCCAATTTAGGTACTTGGTCAATTTTACTAATTAAAATGTCTTTTATGTATTTCATTTTAGACCTATTTCATTTTGAGTGGATGAACTAATCACAATGCAATAAAAACTTTGATAGAAATAGAATTGACTTAAAAAATTCGGATTTGCGATGAGAAAAACTTTCTCTCTAGAGAACATGAGCTCTCCTCTCAGCAGTAGCTGATATGGCGAGGAAAGTAAATTCTGGAGGACGAGGGAGTACCGTACAGCTCAATATAACTGGAAGAGACCTAAAAAAAGTTCCACTGTCATCGGAGGCAAAGAAATTTCGAAATGTCAATGCAATTCAAGGTATAACTCCAATAGATTTGGGTAGAACCAATGGCGTCAACATCAACAATGGTGGAGAACACACCGGCGACGAAATCATGGGCAGATCGAACGGAGGAAGAGGTAAGTGAATCGGAATCAATAGAAAAACAAAGCCATGCAAAAACATGAAAAATAGGGAAAAATTGGAGTCGAATTGTAGAGAAAGGTGAACAGAGTGGAGGGTATGACCTAACCGGAAAGGGAGTGGAGCAATTGAGGGGAAATGTGAAAATTACAATGGAAGACATAAAAGATGAGATAATCTACTGGAAATCTGCAGTAATTTGCTACGTCCTAGGTTCAAATCCACCACAAACTGTTATGAAGGGCTACTTTAAACGAGTATGGGGGTCATTGGGAATATATAAAATAGCCCAGGTGAATAGAGGTGTGTTCATAAAAAGATTCCACTCACCGGAAAACAAGGAGAAGGTGGTAGAGGAAGGAATTAGAATGTTTGATAAAAAATCAATGATGGTTAGACCATGAGACCTGACATTAAATTTCACAAGCAGGTGGTTGATAAAGTTCCTGTGTGGATTAGATTGATGAATCTGGATATCAAATACTTGGGACAAAATGCTCTAACAAAAATTGCAGGAATAATAGGCAACCCTCTGAAAGCGAACAAAGCAACAACACAAAAGCAGAGGCTGCAATTTGCAAGAATTTTGGTTGAAGTTGAACCAGATCAGATGTATCCAGATATGGTGATGTTTGAGAATGAATGTGTAGCGACCCGGCTGGTCGTTTTTGGAATTTACGCCCCGATCCCCTATTAACTACTTTCCCCAAGTTTATTCTGCTATTTTGATTTGCCGGGATGTTCGGTCTTGAGTTTCGGAGAGTGTTAGGACACTTAGTCCCTAAATGAGAGCTTAAGTGTTGGAAAACTGACCATAGTCGGAACAGTGTGAAGACGGCCTCAGAATGGAAATCCGATGGTACCGTTAGCTTCGTTAGGTGATTGCGGGGTTGGGAGCGTGTTCGGAATATATTTTGGAGGTCCGTAGCTAATTTAGGCTTGAAATGCCGAAGTTTGAATTTTTGAAGTTTCCGGTCCGATAGTGAGATTTTGATTCGAGGGTCGGAATGGAATTCCGGAAGTTGCAGTAGCTCCGTCAGGTCATTTGGGATGTGTGTGCAAAGTTTCAGGTCATTCGGACGTGTTTTGGTTAGGTTTTTGATCGAAAGCGTATTTTGAGAGAATTTGAAGTTCTTTAGCTTAAATCCTTGATTATTTCGAGTTTCCGACGTTGTTTTAGGTGGTTTAAGGATTGGTACAAGTTTGAATGATGTTATGGGATATGTTCGTAGGTTTGGTTGAGGTCCCGGGGGCCTCGGGTGTGTTTCGGATGCTCAACGGGGCATTTCTGTGTTAAAAAGAGTTGCAGATTTCTCTTCAGTTCTGCTGCACGTTTTCCTTCTATGCGATCGCAGCTTACCCTCCGCGATCGCATAGTGTAATTTTGGAGGGTGATGATTTTTGTTCTACGTGATTGCATTAGCTGGTTCGCGATCGCATAGGTCTGTTCCTCTCTCTTCTGTGATCGCATGGCTTGGGCTGCGTTCGCATAGGCTATTTTCTGAGCCTTTAAATTTTACTCTTCGCGATCGCATTTCTCCTCTTGCGATCGCATAGAACCAAATGCCTGGGCAGATATAAACATTTCAAAACGAGGGTTTAGCCATTTTTACCAAAATTCAAGCTTGAGAGCTCGGATTTGAGGGAGATTTCGAGGGTTTTTCAGGGACAACGATTGGGTAACGATTCTGTACTTCTTTTTGCTTATAACCCACTAATCTAATCATGAATTCTTCCTTTAATTTCTGATTTTGAACGAAAAATCGGTAAAACTTCATAGACCGAATTATTGAGTTTTGAGTGGGTGTTTGACCTCCGATTTGAGAAATTTTTATATGGTTAGACTCGTGAGAGTACGAGGGTTCTGGAAATGTTAATTTCATCCGATTTCGAGACGTTGGACTGAGGGGCATTTTGGTCATTTTACCTAATTTCGCGTCTTAGCTTTGAATTAAATCGTAGAATCAGTTGCTTGAGATGTTATTTACGATATGCAATTGAATTGAATAGATTTGGGCCATTTGGAGTCGGATACTCGTGGCAAACGTGTGGGTTCGAGTTGATTTTGGAGCCGGTTCGAGGTAAGTGTCTTGTCTAACCTTGTGTGGGGGACCCTCTCCCCTTAGGATATGATATTTGGTAATTGAATGCCTTGTACGTGAGGTGATGAGCGCGTACTTGAGCTAATTGTCGAATATCCGGTTCTACTTTAAGTACTTAAACTGAGTTCTTTTCTTACTTGCTTTATTCTACATGCAAATATAGCCTGTGTTAGTTTAGAAGAGTACGATTAGTTGAATTAATTGCCTATTTGCTTAAACTGCCTTAATTGCATTACGTGAAGCATGTTAGCTAGAATTTACTATTTACTCATTACGGACGTCGTATTTATTTTGATGTCCTTGAGCTGTTGTTGTGTGTTTTAAATTGGGACTACGGGACGGCATCCCGGGAGATCCCCTGTGCGTAATTATGGTCTGGATTGGGGTGCGGGATACCAAGAGATCCCTAGCACGTGTATTGAGGATACCAAGAGATCCTCGGGATACCAAGAGATCCCTGGCTTATGTATTGAGGATACCAAGAGATCCTCGGGATACCAAGAGATCCCTAGAGTGTATATTGAGGATACCAAGAGATCCCGATTATTTATCTTGCTGTGAGGGGTATTTCCTTGTAGTTTGCTTTTATCTCTGTTTCTGTTATTGCACTATTATTATACTGTGTAGATCTTTATTATCGATTCTCAATTTTACTGCTTATTGCCCTGTCATTACATTATAAATATATTTATCTCAGTAGGGCCCTGACCTTCCTCGTACCCAACCAAGGTTAGGCTTGGCACTTACTGAGTACCGCTGTGGTGTACTCATGCCCTTTCTGCGCATGTTTTTCATGTGCAGACCCAGGTACTTCTACCCAGGCGTATCATCCTTGAGGCAGGGAGCATTTCAGAGACTTCAAGGTACATCTGCCGCGTCCACAGACCGAAGAGTCTCCTTCTTTACTCTATCTGTAGTGTTAGCCCTTCTATCGTACTATTGATGTAGACATTTCTGGAGATTAGAGCACTTTACTGAATTCCTTTTAGCTTCCCGTGAGTTTCCGGGTTTTGGGATAGCAATGTAGGATGCTGTGATGTGGAGTTGTATACGCCGAGCAGCATTTTATATATTGTTTCTCCTTTAAATTGTTCAGTTTTGACTATTATTCCGCAAGTTAGTTATGTTTCTGCATTGTTAGAATTACCTAGTTGTAGAGACTAGGCGCCATCACGACATGTTCACGGTGGGTGAACTGGGGTCGTGACAAGTTGGTATCAGAGCTCTAGGTTCATAGGAGTCACGGAACACAGGCCGATTTATTAGAGTCTCGCTGATCGGTACGGGTACGTCTGTACTTATCTATGAGAGGCTATGTAACTGTTAGGAACAATTCCACTTCATTTGACTTCCTTGTCGTGCGAGATTCTTGATATCACAACTAAACTTCTGTCTTTCTATTCTCTCACAGATGGTGAGGACACGCGCTACCCGAGAGGATCAGGCACCCGCGCCCTCTACTGTAGCCTTCAAAGGCCGGGGCCGGGGTAGAGGCCGAGGACGCGCTCGTGGTGTAGCCAGAGCACCCGCGCGAGCTACCGCCGAGGTACCACCAGCAGTACCAGCAAGAGTCCAGACACCCGATACGTCTACCACAACTACTCCAGCACTCCAGGAGACTTTGGCACAGTTCATGAGTATGTACACCACTTTGGCTCAGGCAGAGTTGCTTCCCCTTGCTGCAGCCACATCCCAGGCCGGGGGAGGAGTACAGACTCCCGCCGCCCGCACTCCAGAGCAGCGAGTGCATGTGGAGCAGGCCCCAGAGGTTGTACCTGCGCCGCCTGCAGTACCAATTCAGCCCGAGGATAGGGCAGCGACTTCAGAGGATGAGCAGCGGAGACTTGAGAGGTTTAAGAAATACGATCCTCCGGTATTCAGTGGGTTAGCATCAGAGGATGCCTTGGGATTTCTGGAGGAGTGCTACCGTATTCTCCGCACTATGGGCATATCAGGATCGAGCAGGGTTTCCTTCACTACTTTCCAGCTTCGAGGAGCCGCCTATCAGTGGTGGCGTGCTTATGAGTTAGACAGCCCGGATGAGGCAGCTTCCCTGACTTGGGCTCAGTTTTCAGATATGTTCACGAGGGAGTATGTTCCCTAAAGTCTTAGGGATGCTTGGCGCGCGGAGTTTGAGTGTTTGCGCCAGGGTACTATGACTGTCTCAGAGTATGCTGTCAACTACATTGACTTGGCTAGACATGCCCCAGCTTTGGTTTCTACCATCCGCGAGAAGGTTCGCCGGTTCATTGAGGGGCTTATTCCCAGCATCGGATCTAGCATGGCTCGTGAGTTAGAGACGGATGTGTCTTATCAGCAGGCGGTGAGCATTTCTAGGAGGATTGAGGGTATGCATGCTAGGGACGGGGAGGAGCGGGAGGCCAAGAGGTCTCGAGAGTCGGGCCATTTTTCTGGTGCCCGTG